AAAAAAAAACTGCTTACCAACACTTGAGTCGTGCTTTTCTTCCGTATCCACTTCGTATGGAACAATCGCTACGATCGGATGCGAAAAAGTTACTTGCGTGACTCCCGCAAAACGAGGATGTTCAGCATACTCCAATTCTACACAGAACACATTCTGAAAATTTAGAGCACTATATAAACTGTAAAAGAAGTCTTTCGCAAATAAAATGTACGAAACTGCTCGTAGAGACGCTCGTTAAGGTAGAAAAAAATTGCAGAATGAAAAGCAACTTTAGTAATACCGATCCATCTACGTCCAAAATATGTGCGTAACGGGCTTGTGGATCCACGTGAACCGCAAATGTCGCAATCTCAACCGATGACTCGAATCGAACACGTCCTAGACAACGCCAGTCCTCACATTCGAATAACGCTAATCGTCGTCCCCCTTCCGCAACCACAAGGCAGTGACGCCAGAACTGCTCCCTTTGAATAAAGAAGTAAAACCGTAAAGTAACTTGAGATGTGATTCCACGGTAACGTCGATCAAACTCACTGATTCTTAGATTGACGAGCTCCATCTAGAAAAAACAATTCCACAATTGATCGGTTCATTTGCGGATTCCACGTATGAGCAAATTTCAATTCACTTTCGTTTGAGTTCATCACGTAGAAAGAAACAACTCCATCCGCCCGTGCGATAGCCACAGCAGTGGAATCGGGAGAGATGCAGACAGCAGTAACCTCCTAAATATGAAGTAATGGATTAATATAATGATATGAAGTAAAGAGTTCGGAATGACACATAAGACTCCATGCAAAAATCAGCGACAATATGTGAAGTAGAGGAGGAGGATGTCTTACACCGCTCATCGTCCCGCCCATCCCTAATCGTGTCTCTGATTGGTCGGATTTAAACAACTGGTCAGGTGATTGGATAGCAGGAGTAGGCGGGATGACAATCGGTGCATTAGGGGCTGAATAACCCGTTAGTCATGGAATTGCTGACTATATTTTGCTGCTATAAAATCGAATTCAAAGTAAGCATATATGATGCCGACCCTTTTAACGCTTAGGGTATCTCCATACTTCACAAGAATCGGCCGATCGAGGGTGCGCGGAGGTTGCGTTGCTGCGCCGCAGTCAAATACCATTTGCCTGGGATTCCATCGTCATCTTTCCGGCACACTTACTGACGACTTCCGAGAACTCTAACACAACCTTACGAAAGAAAGCGAGTCAAATCGGAAGAAAAAAGTGCGGAAAGGCAGGGATAGAGACGAATCGCGCTAAATAGGTACTCACAGGGAGCCGCAACGCAACCGCCGCGCACCCTCGTCGGCCGATTCTTATTGCGCTTATAAACGTTGTAAGGATCTGAATCGGCCGATCCTTATGAAGTATGGAGATACCCTTATAAGCGCAACAAGAATCGGCCGATCGAGGGTGTGCGGCGGGCGTTGCGGCTTCCTGTAGAGTATCGATTTGGCGCGTTTCGCCTCTATCCCAGCCTTTCCGCAATTTTTTTTTTCGATTTGCCTCGCTTTCTTTCTTCTTAGAGTTCTCAGAAGTGCCAAGCAAGTGTGTCAAAGATGAGGACGGAACCCCAGGCAGAACGGTATTCGACTGCGGCGCAGCAACGCAACCGCCGCGCACCCTCGACCCGTTCTTATTGCGTATAAGTTTTATAAGGGTCGGCCGATCTAAATCGGCCGAT